AAATTCTCTCGGCACCTAAGTTTCTATCTGTGCACATGCACAAAACCACCAATGTCCTGATTCTCCCAAGGTGCTCAGTGTACTGGCCCCAGAGGGAATTTCCCCCCAATCTCACCTGTGGCTCATAGTGCATTAGGTTGTCTCAGGGCACACCTACCAGTTCAAGACACACCGCAGATACAATTGAGGGTGACCATAACAGGGCTTTAGTGGGCGGGTGGCATGCGGATCTTTCAGAATATCTGATAGCCCAGTGGTTAGAGCACTCTGCTAGGATATAGGAGACCTGTTTTCATAATCTCACTCTGTCAAAGTTGGAGCAGGAACTTGACCCCAGATCTCACACCTCCCAGATGAGCTCCTTACTTGTGGTCTTACTCTTTGTTTGTTGTACAGTGCCTGTCACAATGGGCCCTATTCTCAGTTGCAGCAATTAGGAGCTACTGGAATTTCCTAATGATCAATTCTGTCACAAATAGCAATTAGGAAGGCCTAAATTCTGCTTCCAGCTCATCCAATGACTCACCATGATGGTGGACAAGTCACTTCCACCTATCCTCTGTGCTGTTAATATTGTTTCCCACCGAAAATAACCACTCACTGCACCTGTGTGTTGTGCAGCTTTATGGTTGCATGAAGCAGTGAAAAGGTAACTTCTAATGAAACTGCTTGGAATTATTTTATTTCATTTTCGTTTCTGAAGCCTAAGGGGAAATGGGTGCAAAGGAATAGAAGGATATGTGGCCTTCAACAAAACTCATTTACCTACCTAGCCCCCATTACTCTAACACTCAAAGCCTGCATCTCTTTTTCCACTATCAGTTGTGTCTTACGTTTTCCTCCCTCCTATGTTTTTCAGGATTCCCTCCATCACGGAAGATGTCTTACTGCCCACCCCAGGACTGTATTCCCGATATATGCCCACGCCCATATATTGACGTCCGCAACGAGCCGTGTATCTCATCATGCGGAGATTCAACTGCAGTGGTCTATGCACCACCAGTTGTTGTGAGATTCCCAGGACCAACTATGGCTACTTGTCCTCAAGACAGCTTCGTAGGAACCTCCTTACCAAATATGCCAATTAGAGCTGGGGGCTCATATGGTTCCGGTGGAGGTTTCAGTGGCTCAATCACTTCTGGGGGTAGTTACAGTGGTGGTTTTGGAGGAGGTTACAGTGGTGGCTATGGGGGAGGTAACAGTGTTGTTTATGGGGGTGGAGCCGGGGGTGGTTATGGCGGAGGAGCTGGGGGTGGTTATGGGGCTGGTTATGGAGGCTCATACGGTTGTGGGGGCTCACGTGGTTATATCAGGAAGTCATATCGTAGCATTTCTGGGGGAGGATATTCTGGATTCAACCGTGGAAACTGTGGGCCATGTTAAACCCAGAAATACCATCCATGGAATGAGGAACAATCAGGGAATGACAAGATAGAGATTTACCACGGATCTAATGGACAATGATGCCTTCAACTCTACTTTCAGACTGTGGGTGTTCATCGCTTCCTATTCTGTTTTGTGCTATTTGATGTTGAACTGGCTAAAAGAAGTCACTTCGTTGAAAAAGGGACATGATTTTCAAACTCAACAGCTTCAAGACAGAA